TTTCCCAGGGTCTCAGGATCCATTCCAAGGAGGTGCAGGGGCATCACTCCGTCAGGATCCCGAGGATGTGCCTTGGGAACCCCCAGGAGGAGGAGATGAGGCTGTGGCAGTGTCACACCAGGACCCCACAGCACAGCCGGCTTGGCAGCAGCTCCTCTCCCCAAAATCCTGACAGAAATGGCTTTTTTAACCCCTCTGTTGCAGAGCTGGTCCTGTTTTCCTAACCCTGCCACGCAGGGCTGGTGATTTCCTCTCCAATTCCTCGGCATTCCCCGTGGAGCAGAGCACAGCACACTTCCCTAATTCCCATTAGCAGCACCATTTCCCCCAGCAGGAGCACCTGAGATCCGGGGAAGCTGCTGCCCTCTGCCCTCCCCTCTCCCAGGCCAAAACCTCTCTTAAAAAAAAGCAGAAAAATCCATTCCCCTCCCAGGCTTTGAGGCGCCAGGGATAATTGATACCCGGCTCCAGGAGATAAAGAACGAAACCTTTCCTCCTCCTCTTCCTCCTCCTCCTCGAGGCTTTTTGTGCCTGCAGCTCCCAGAGCTGGGCAGCCTCTGACCTTGGGTTGCTGCATTAATGATGGAGCAGGGATGGAGCAGGGAGGGAACAGGGATGGAGCAGGGAGGGAGCAGAGAAGGAGCAGGGATGGAGCAGGAAAGGAGTAGGGATGGAGCAGGGAAGGAGAAGGGAGGGAGCAGGGATAGAGCAGAGATGGAGCAGAGCAGGAGCAGGGATGGAGCAGAGCAGGAGCAGGGAGGGAGCAGAGAAGGAGAAAGGATGGAGCAGGGAAGGAGTAGGGATGGAGCAGAGAAGGAGAAAGGATGGAGCAGGGATGGAGCAGAAAAGGACCAGGGAGGAAGCAGAGAAGGAGCAGGGAAGGAGCAGGGATGGAGCAGAGAAGGAGAAGGGATGGAGCAGGGAAGGGAGCAGGGAGGAAGCAGAGAAGGAGCAGGGATGGAGCAGGGACATCACACACAGCACTCAGCCCATCCCCTGAGCTTTCCCTTTCTCCTGGCCTTGCACAATGGCAGCTTTGTCCCCTGCTCCAGGCAGCAGCAGCAGCAGCCAGTTTGTGGCTTTGTCCCCACAAGATAAGCCCAGAGAAAAATGTCACCTGCTGCTCTGATCCCCAACACCCAGCAGCTCCAGACAGGTGGAATAATTCCAGAGCACACCGCATCCATCCCAAACAGGAGGGCTGGGAGAGGAGCTGGTTTGTCTGGGAGGGACAAGCCCAGACTGACAAGCAGGCAGCTCTTCCAAGGGCAGAATTCCCAGGGGCTGGAACACGATCCCCTGAACACCCTGGGGGGGACAGGGACAGCAGGGCAGTGCCAGCAGCAGGGCAGAGCCGCCTGGGACTGCACTCCCAGAGGAATTTCCCACGTGGAGAGGGCTCTGGCTCAGCTGTCACCCAGCTGCCAGGCAGGGGAAGGTGACAAGTGACAAAGAGCTGCCCAGAAGAGCCTCCCAGCCCTGTTCCCAGCCCTGCTCTGCCAGCAGCAGGATTAATTCAAAGCCATTTCCCAACGAAGGCAAAGCGATTTAATTCCGCTGCCCTGCTTTGATTCCCCTCTGAAATAAATGGAAATCTTGGATTCAGCCTTCAGGCAGGATAAATCACCCGTGCAGGCACAGAGGATTCACCTGGCCTGGAAAGCACAGCTCAGGGGTGTCACACAGGTGTCACACTGCTCCCAGGACAACGGGAATGTGGGGAAATCTCAGCTCCCAAGGGACACTCAGCTCCCTCATCCCCCGGGAGAAGCAGCTCCGTCAGCCTTCCACACCTGGAGCATCCCAGGAATTCGGCAGCTCTTCCCAGGTGTTTCAGTTCGCTGCCATCATTAAGGGACAAGGACGGGAATGTCAGACCGGGATGGGTTTGGGGCTGTTTTGTGGATTGAAGGGACTCGGTGCGGGAGGAATGGGCTCCCAAAGCTGTGACCGCCGTCCCCTCCTTCCCACCCAACATTCCAGGCTCGCTGAGACTCCAGCAGGTTGGGATGGGTTCCAGCAGCGGCAACGAAGGGAGCTGGGGGTGAATCCTGCAGCCCCCACCCCACACCCGGACCCTCCCGGGCCACGCCGGCACAGCGCTCCCTTGGCAACATTCCCGGCAGATTCCCTCCCTCCAGAGAGGCTGCACGTCCCGAATTCCCAGATTCCCTCCCTCCAGAGGCTGCACATCCCGAATTCCCAGATTCCCTCCCTCCAGAGAGGCTGCACGTCCCGAATTCCCAGATTCCCTCCCTCCAGAGAGGCTGCACATCCCGAATTCCCAGATTCCCTCCCTCCAGAGGCTGCACATCCCGAATTCCCAGATTCCCTCCCTCCACAGTGCCAGCACATCCCAAATTCCCTCCCTCCAGTGAAACTGCACATCCCAAATTCCCAGACTCCCCTTTCCAGAGGGTGTCCCACATCCTGGATCCAGATTCCCTCCTCCTAGAGAAGCTGCACATTCCAAATTCCCAGATTCCCCCTTTCCAGAGGGTATCCCACATCCTGGATCTAGATTCCCTCCCTCTAGAGAAGCGGCACATCCCAAATTCCCGGATTTCTCCTTTCCAGAAGGTGTCCCACCTCCTGGGATCAGATTCCCTCTCTCCACAGGTATTTCATTTTCTGGGACCAGATTCCCTCCCTCCCTGCCTCCACAGAGGCTGCACATCCCGAATTCCCGGATTCCCCCTTTCCAGAGGGTGTCCCACATCCTGAATTCCCAGATTCCCTCTCTCCAGAGTATGTCCCAGTTTTTGGGAGCGGATTCCCCCTTTCCAGAAGGTGTCCCATATCCCAGGACCAGATTCCCTCCCTCCATAGCACCAGCACATCCCAAATTCCAAATGGTGGGGGGAAAAAAAATTATCCAGAGGGAAAAAGTGACTCCTGTCACACAGGAATATCTCAGCTCCAATTAAGGGACTGCTAATTTTTCTCCTAAATAGCCTTTAATTAGCAGGACATTTCACTTTTGGGTATGATAATAAAAAACTTCCAGGCATTTGGAAAAACAAACAAGAGTTTGGTGTTAAAAAAAACAAAAAAAAAAAAACCTTAAAATGAGGAGCTGGAATTTCCAATCTCCCCTCCCAGGGGTTTTATTCTCTTACAGCCCACAGGGACTAAAAATTTGTTCTGGGAGTGGGAAAAATCTGATAAATGTTGGAAACACAAAACCCATTTGCAAGGAGGAGATTTCTCGGGTGGCAGCGGAGCAAAGCTGATCATTATCAGTGAAAACCCAGGATAAAAAAGGACCTGAAATTAATTTAAATAAATTAAACAGCACAACTTCCGTGAAAAATCCAGGAAAAAGAGCACCTGAAATTATTTAAATTAATTAAATAGATCAACAGCATTCCAGTGCTAAGAGAAGAGAAAATATTGGTATTCAGGAGCCCAAAATTCCCCTATTTTCATCCCAAAACAATTCCCCCATTCAGGTGCTGCCAGGTCAAGCCTTGTCCAGAAAAGTTTTGGCAACAGCTCCTGGGAAAGGTCAGAGCTGATGTTTGGGTTGTTGCAAGGTAAGTTTCCACTTTTCTTTTTTTTTTTAAGAGATAAAAGAATTTTTAAAGAGATAAAAGAAGAAAATTGCTCCTTTTTCCCTGTTAAAATCAGCTTTTCCCAGCAGCAATTCCAAACCAGGGAGCACAAACTCTCGGAGATAATTAAACCCAATTAAAGGCGATTATTGACCAGGAACGAGCTGCAATAAATGCAACAAGAGGCAGAGGAAAAAGAGATTTTACTGCAAGAACTTTATTGCACCACGTTCAAGTGCTGAGCCAGGAGCCGAGCCTGGGGCACAGTGACACCCCCAGCTCCTGGGGACACCGGGACAATCTGCATTTCCCCCCTCTAATTAAGGCTGGATATGATAATTAGGACATGGTAAATCAAGAGGGGAATTAGGGGAGCAGGGGGAAGAATGTGGAGTTATACACGGAGCGTTTAAAATTTGGTTTATTGTTCTTCAGGAGGAGTTGGGGTTTGCACCCCAATCCGACTTCCAGAATTGGTCAAATTGGTTAAAAACCAGGACACCTTTGGCTAAAAATTCCATTTTTTCTTCGCTTTTATTCACTCCTCAGGCTCTGAGGGTGGGAGGGGAAGGCAAAGGGCAGAATTGTGATTTCAGCACCACTTTCCCTCCCTCCCCACCCCAAAAAACACTTCCAGGTCTCCCTGATCCACGGAAAAATCAGGATATTCCAAGGGAGGAGGGAATTCAGCACAGCCTGGAGGCAGGGAGGGTTTGGGGAGCTCACCCGAGGGGCTTTGACAAGCACTGACATCTTCTGGTTCAGTTTTATAAAATCTCTGCCAAGGCTGGAATTCCTAAAAAATCCATTTTCTGTGTTCTGGAAAGGCAGGAGTTTGGGAAAGGGAGAAATCCTGGGAAGGGAGGATGAGGAAGGGATGGGGACGAGGCCTCACCTGCTGCAGGTACAGCCCAAAAAAACCCTAAATTTCAAAATATCCTGAGGGAACAGGGCCCGAAACCTGGATCCAAGGCTGGGTGTTATGGAAAAATTATGGATGTTATGGAAAAAAATAGGGATATTATGGAAAAATACCCAGGAGAAGGTGCAAGATCACACCTGGGGCAGCCAAAATCAAAAATGTGTCTGGTAGGAGCAGCCTGGCCAAAATTGCTCCTAAAATCCCTTCATTTGTTCAATGGCAGCCCCCAAAAATCCAAATTTTTAGGGTTTGCTGATGAAGGGTATCAGGATTTTGGGGTGGAAATTGGGATTCTCCCTCCCAAAAACTCCAATAAAAGAGAAGAAGGCAATCAGAGGTTCAGCTGAGAAAATTCCCCCTCTCACCAAGTGAGGCCCTCCCTCAAAATCCCAATTTCCTGCGCTCAGCAAGGTGGATCCAAACCCTTCCAAAGCTGGGTATTATGGAAAAAATATGGATATTATGGGAAAAATATGGATATTATGGGAAAAATATGGATATTATGGGAAAAATATGGATATTATGGGAAAAATATGGATATTATGGGAAAAATATGGATATTATGGGAAAAATATGGATATTATGGGAAAAAAAAAGGATATTATGGAAAAAAAAAAGGATATTATGGAAAAATATCCAGGAAAAGGTGCTCAAGGTAACCCCTGGAGCAGCCAAAATCAAAAATGAGCTGGTAGGAGCAGCCTGGCCAAAATTGCTCCAAAAATCCTTAAATTCATTCCCCAGCCGCCCCACAAAAAGATCTCAAAAATTTTTAGGGTTTGCTGATGAAGGGTATCAGGATTTTGGGGTGGAAATTGGGATTCTCCCTCCCAAAAACCCCAATAAAAGAGAAGAAGGCAATCAGAGGTTCAGCTGAGAAAATTCCCCCTCTCACCAAGTGAGGCCCTCCCTCAAAATCCCAATTTCCTGCGCTCAGCAAGGTGGATCCAAACCCTTCCAAAGCTGGGTATTATGGAAAAAATATGGATATTATGGGAAAAATATGGATATTATGGGAAAAAAATATGGATATTATGGAAAAATATCCAGGAAAAGGTGCTCAAGGTAACCCCTGGAGCAGCCAAAATCAAAAATGGGTCTGGTGGGAGCAGCCTGGCCAAAATTGCTCCAAAAATCCTTAAATTCATTCCCCAGCCGCCCCACAAAAAGATCTCAAAAATTTTTAGGGTTTGCTGATGAAGGGTATCAGGATTTTGGGGTGGAAATTGGGATTCTCCCTCCCAAAAACCCCAATAAAAGAGAAGAAGGCAATCAGAGGTTCAGCTGAGAAAATTCCCCCTCTCACCAAGTGAGGCCCTCCCTCAAAATCCCAATTTCCTGCGCTCAGCAAGGCTGGGAATGTGGACAGCAGGGGAAAAAAAAATTAAAATAAAAAAGCCTTTTCCATCTTTCTGACAGAGAAATTAATTTTAAATCCTCGTCCGCATCGCCCCTCGCTCACCCAGGACACTGTGGAACATCAGTCTTGTGTGCCAGGATGGATTTTCTGCCTAAAATTAACATTTCAAGTGAATTCTTTGGGAAAAATCAGAGTGACACACGCAGAGAATCACACACCCCCTCCCAAAAACAGATTCACCACGGGGTTTAGGCAGCGAGGGTCCTGTTCAAGCCCCCCAGGAGTCAGAATTCCATGGAAAACATCCCCCAAAATCCCTGGGATGTGCCCAAAAAGGGGCTTAAGGCTGTCAGGCTGTTCCCAGCCAGCTCCTCCTCGTGTCCCTGCTTAAAAACAAAAAAATGTTCCTTTTTTAAAGAGTTTAAAAAGGAATTCACATCTCAGGAATTCACATTCCTGGCTGGGGGTGCTTTCCTCACCTCGAGAAAATCCTTTCTGCACAAGGCAATGCTCTGCTGCTTTTCCTTACACATAAAGTTGACTTTATTCCTTTTCTTAAAAAGTTAAAAATACAGAAGGTTCAGAAACTGCTTTTCTCCTTGCAGGTTTGCAGCTTAAGGAGAAAACAATCCTTCACTGAAATGTTTCTCTTAATTGGCTTTTTTTATTATTATTATTATATATTTTTTTCTAATTGTGGGGTTTTTTTTTTCCTCTCAATCATCATCACCCTTTTTATTTTATTTTTTAGGACAGAGGTTGAGGAGCGCTGACTCCACCACTAATTTAATAACTTTTTTTTTTACTTTTTTTTTTGTTTTGTTTTTTTTTTTTGATTCCAGATTCACATTTCCAGGTGCCAAGAGTCCAGAGAAGAGCCCCCCGCTCACTTCTGCCTTCCTTTTGAGATCAATATTTTGGTTTTTGTGTTTATTTATTGAACACAGCAGTGACCGTTGGCATCTTTGAAGCGTAATCTCATCTTGGGCCGGTATTTCTCCAGATAAAGCAGCTGTTTGGAATTGAAAGCTCCCCTCCTTTTCCTAAAAAAAAACCACAAGGAAGGTGGATATCAATGGGAAAAAAAAGCACCATTTTGCTTGCTTCAGGCAGATTAGTTTTAATTTTAATTGATTAATAATTTCATAATAATTTTATATTTAATAACGTTCAAAATATATTAAATAATAAGTATTATTTAATAATAATTGTAATTATTTTTATATTTTTATTTTATAATTGTAATTATTTTTAATGAGTTATTTAGCCCCAAAAAAAGCAGAATTTTGGTGGGAATTTGTGTTTCACCCAGGAGAATAAGCCACAATATTTCAGGGGAATATTCTGATTAAATTCCAGCTTTTTTTTTTTTTTTTTTTCAATGGGAAAAAAAAGCACCATTTTGCTTGCTTCAGGCAGATTAGTTTTAATTTTAATTGATTAATAATTTCATAATAATTTTATATTTAATAACGTTCAAAATATATTAAATAATAAGTATTATTTAATAATAATTGTAATTATTTTTATATTTTTATTTTATAATTGTAATATTTCCAGGCTTGGAACAATAAAAAGAACAACATCAAGGTCACCCTCCCCAGGTGCTGCTGATCAGCTCAAAGACACAAAGAGATAAGAGGGGCCCACAAAAAGCATTAAAAAAAAAAGGAATTTCAAATAACTGGAAACCCTGGGAAGCCCCAAAAAGCTGGAATTGCTTCCCTGAGCACAGATCTCACCTGCTGAGCTGCATTTCAGGGGTTTTGTCACTGAATTTATCCTGCCCTGGGTTATTCCTGAGGTTTCTGAGCAGGGAATGATCCCCAAAATTCCCCTGGGAAGTGCTGAGCTCCTCCATTTGTTGGCTCAGCCTCAGCAGGATTTTAATTTTTATTAATTTTTAAAATTATTTTTAATTATTACTAATTTTTATTCTTTTTAAAAATAATTAAATGTAATTTTATAGCCCCAGCCTTGATGCTTTTTCCTCACAAAAATCAGAATATTTGAGGCTTTACTTTAAATGTAAAGGCAGATTTTAGAAGATCACCCTTAATGCTCATTAATTAACAGAGATTTTGTACTTCCATCCTTGATACTTTTACCTCACAAAAATCTAAAATTTTTGATATTTTCTTCACATACAAACCCAAGATCACCTGTTACTCCTCTTTAATTAGAATAAATTTTCACAGCCCCATCCTTGACACTTCCACTTCACAAAATTCAAAATATTTGAGCTTTTTCTTCACACTGAACCCATATTTTAAAGAGAAATCACCTGTTAATCCTCATTAATTAACAGAAATTTTTATAGTCCCATCCTTGATACTTTTACCTCACACTTTTTGATATTTTTTGTATTTTCTTCACACATAAACCCAAGATCACCTGTTACTCCTTATTTAAATTAGAATAAATTTTTACAGCCCCATCCTAGACACTTTCACCTCACAAAATTCAAAATATTTGAGCTTTTTCTTCACATTTAAAAGAGAGATCACCTGTTAATCCTTATTAATGAGCAGCATAATTAATTATAGCCCCATCCTAGACACTTTTACCTCACAAAATTCAAAATATTTGAGCTTTTTCTTCACACTGAACCCATATTTTAAAGAGAAATCACCTGTTAATCCTCATTAATTAACAGAAATTTTTATAGTCCCATCATTGATAGTTTTACCTCACACTTTTTGATATTTTCTTTGCATATAAACCCAAGATCACCTGTTACTCCTTATTTGAATTGGAATCCATTTTTACAGCCCCATCCTTGACACTTTCACCTCACAAAATTCAAAATATTTGAGCTTTTTCTCCACATTTAAACCCAGATTTTAATGAAATCTTATTTATTTTAGGATAAAACACTTTAAAAAAAAATCTTTTCCTTAACAGGCTCAGGCTGGTCAAAAACCACAGAATAAAAGATTCCTGGGGGGAGAAAAAAAAGTGAATTTTCACTTACTGCCTTATAAACTGAACTGCATCCTCATACTTCATTCCACATTCAATGAGAGCAAGTGCGACCAGAACGGGAGCCCTGCAGGAAAAATCAATATTTAAGGAAATAATAAATGGAATCCTTCAAAATTCATCCGATTTCTCTCCCCAACAAGCAGCTGAAGGGTTTTTTTCCTTTCAGCATTTCCCACAGAAAGGTGTTTTGCCCGATGTAAAATGACTTTTTTTTGGAAGGGATTCTGCTTGCAGAGGAAATAAAAATCAATAGCAGCTCTTTAGTGGTTGGGTTATGAGAATAATTCTGGGTTTTTATCTCACTTTAACCTCGTTTTCTGGGTTTTGACATCTCCTGAATGCTTTTGAGTGTGGATTGAGCTGTGCAGACACTGAGCTGTGGCTTTAGAGATATTTATATATTTTTATTTTTTAAGTAATTCTGTCAAGAGCAGGGAGAAGTAGAATTTTCTGCTTTGGGATCTTCATTTCAGAAGTCAGTTAAGGGTAAAAAAATGGGTTTTTAACACTCAGGAATCCCAAAATACATTGAATTTTCTCCACCCCACAGAGCAACAGGCACCTCTAAGGGTGGTGTGAAGAAGAATTAAAGAGGTGCCAGGAGTTGGACAATTCCTGTGGAAAAAATGAGAAAATCCAGGAGGAAAAGCTCCCACTGTCACCCTGCACAAATACAATTATTCACTCTCCAAGTGAGAATTTGATCCATTCCCTTTCAAACCACTGAGTTCATGATTGGCACAAGTGTCCTTCCAAGGTTTTTGATAAATTATGAAATTAATCAATTAATATATTAATATAATACACTGTATGCATATAATAACTCAATAATTAATAATGAAACTAATGAATTAACTAAGATTTTAAAGCTGCATTAAGTCCCTGTTGCTCTCATGACATAAATTTGATCTAGGTTTAAATTATTTGGGAGAAAACAGAGAAAGTGGGGGTTGTTGAATGCCTTCCTGCCAAATAAATGAAGTTTATTATTATACTTATTATTTTATAAAATAAATTTTATTATTTATTTTATTTATAATTAAATATATTTATTTATATAATAGATAAAATATATTTATATAATTAAATATAATTAAATAGCTGATCTATTATTACATTAATTTATTAATAGAAAAGATTAATAACATACTAATTTAGTATTTAAATTTATTATTGATGATAATATAGTTCATTTACTACTATATTAATTATATTATTTTATTAATATAAAAGTGTTAATAATTATATTTAGTATTTAGATTTACTGTTTAATAGACTGAAATAATTAGTTGATTTACTATCAACTATTAATTACATTAATTTGCAAATATAAAATCGTTAATAATAGTATTAATTTAGTATTAAAATTTACTGTTTAATATAATTAATCTTTTACTATTAATTATTGTATTAATTTATTAATAGAAAATAGTCAATAATTGTATTATTCAGTATTTAAATTTATTATTTAATAGAATGAAATAACACGAGAAAAATAAATCCTGATGATAATGATGATGTTAATGATGATGATAATGATGATGATAATGATGGTATCATCATTACATTTATAATAATGATGATATTGATGATGATATTGATGATGATATTGATGATGATGATATCATCATTAAATTGATAATGATGATAATTATGATAATGATAATGATGATAATGATGATAATGATGATATCATCATTAAATTTATAATAATGACAGTAATGGTGATAATGATGATGATAATGATGATATCATCATTAAATTGATAATGATGATAATTATGATAATGATAATGATGATAATGATGATAATGATGATAATGATGATATCATCATTAAATTTATAATAATAATAATGATAATAATGACAATAATAATGGCAATAATAATGGCAATAATAGTGACAATAATAATGACAATATCATTAAATTTATTATTATCTGAGCCAATTGAAGCGCAGAGAGCAGCACTGACCTTCCCAGCCCTGCCACACAGTGCACAGCCACGCAGCAGCCGGGCTCCTCCCGAAATTTGGTTTTCAAAAGGTTCAGCCAATCCTCCACGATCTGCCCGGGCGGCGGTGCTCCATCATCAAACGGCCAGTCCTGAGGGGAAAAATGCCTTTAAACTCCAGCAGTGACACACAAATCCTGCATTCCGTGAAAAAAAAGGATCATAAACACACTTCTGGGGTTTTTTTCTGCTGGCACAGGTCGATAGAATGCAACATTAAATGTTTAACGAGCATTTGATTGCACCTGGCAGTGAAGCCCCACGTGAGCTTCAATAAAGGAATTTTTTTTTACAGAAATCCCTGCCCTTGAAATGCCATTTTATTAAAAAAAGATGTGAAAATCAATAGGTGTTTTCAGACAAACACGGGAGAGAGGAGAACTCTGCAGAGCTCTGCTGGTGGCTGTGGCACCCCTGGAAAATCCCATTTGTGCTTCAGGCTCTGAGGGGGTGAAGCTGCTCCCAAAAATTCCCAATTCCAGAGGAGCAGCTCCTCCAGCTGCCAGGAATTCCAGGAGTTCCCAACCCCCTGGGTGTTTTCAATTTGAAAAAAACACAAAAAAACTACTTTTAAGAGCAGAGAGGTGCTCAGATAATGGCAGAAATTCACATTTTTTGCTGTTGAAGGGGTAGCCACCATTAAATCCAGGCTATATCAAAAACAAAAATAAAATCAATAAAAAATATCAATAATAAAAAATTCATCTTTTTGCCATGGAAGCAGCTTGCCATTTTTCCTCACACAAATTTCCTGGAATTTGTGCTCCACATCTTTCCTTTCAGGCCCAAGCACAACATCCCACAGTTTATCTTTTTCTTGGATTTGGGGAGTGCTGGAGAAAGGATGTAAAGGGGGAAAAAATAGTATTTAGTGGTTATTTAGCACTTTTCTTTAGATGATTGTGATGTATTTTAGCAGCAAAACTCATGGCAGGGTCCTGGATTATTCCACAACTTCTGAAAATGGAAGGAAATTGCTTTAAAAAGAGCCCACTCCCCTCATCAGGACTAGAAAAATCCCTTTTCTGGAGCACTTGAAGAGCAGGTTCTGATGAAATAATATCCTCTGAAACCTGCAAACCAGCAGAGTTTTCATTCTGAGATGCACCCAGCATTTCCCAAAGAGCAAACACAGCTCAGAAATGCGCTGAGAGGTGGGAGTCCAGTAAAAAAATAAACCCAAAAATACTGAAATAATTTTACATGGGATTAATTCACCGAGCCTGAAGAGTGCAGAGAAATCCTTTGTTAAAGTACTTGGAAAATTAAAAATATCTGGGACAACACAGCAAAGGGAAAGGCCACAGGAATAAGAGCACGAATCAAAAGTTATTCTTTCTAATAAAAGGTTTTTTTATGGGATTTTCCACTCAATCCCACAGTGCTGGCTGGGTTATTTCAGGTTTGTGGCACCCCCTGTCCCAGGAAGAGAGGTACAGACAGCAGGATGCTGCTTTTGAGAGAGGATTTTCTGTCTTTAATTGAAATTAAATCTTTTCCTTTGCATCCTCACAACTCCTGGGCTGGCCTGGATCAATCCCAGCGCTGATAAAACACAGGGACAAAATAATTCTGGCATCAGGGATGGAACTGCAGTGAAGTTTTGAAGGAATTTTTTCCTTATTCTGAGCTCTGGGTTCCTGTTGGACAGGAAAAAAAAAAGCAAATTCTGAGGTGCACAATGAAAAAACCAGGATTGCACAAAGGGATTTATCATTTTTTTCCTTTTTTTTTGGAATAGAACAACAGCTCCAGGAATGGCAACCCAGGTGATGAAGCGACAGAACTTTGAGGTGATAAAGAACTTTTTCTTCAAAAATACTGGAATTAGGAGCTCCCAGAGCTGCCTGGATCTGAGCAGGGTGAGCCCACAGCTTCCACTTCCATCCTGGAATTCTAAGGAATTCCAAGCAAGGAATTCCCACCTCCTTGTGCCATCCTCATGGGGGGGCACAGAGGGAAAAAAAAAATCTGATCCAATAAATCAAAGAGTGAGAGAAAGACAACAAGGAAATATCCCCTGGATCCTGAAGATGAGCAAAGCCAAAAATCCTCTCAGAAAAAAAAAAATAAAAAATTAAAATGAACAAAACCACCACAGCCCCTCTGGAAGCCAAAAAGTGCCAAAAATCCTCTCAGAAAAAAACAAAAAACCTTCTGATTTTCCTGATTTTGTGTTCCTTAAGTGTAGCAGCCCACAGGAATTAAATCCATCCCAGCTCCTGGAGCCCATCCCTGCAGGGAATTGCAGCTCATTCCCTACTTTCCCCCTCTGCCATCTGGAAAAAAAAACTCTGGAGCCACCACATTTTAGCCACGACCCACTCCCAGGTTTGCCAAAACATTTCCATTTTCAGGGGTTTCACCACAATTTTGACCTCAGCAGTGCTAAAATAGACATTAAGTGGTGCTAAAAGAGGCACTAATCTTCCCCCAGGCTGTGTTTTTAATGTTGAATGTTATTTTTTTACAGGCAAATGTTAGCCTGAAATAGCGAGGTGTTATTTTCTCAGCTGGGGGTTACTCAATCCCATTTCAGAGCAGCCAGAGGACTCTGCCTGGAAAATAAAAAGCAGGAATTCACGGGAAAGAGAAGCTGGATTTATCTCCCTCCTGGAGCAGTGTCCTGAGGGTTTTTAGGCTCAGGGAAATATCTGCAAACAGGAGATTCTGCTCCTCCACAGCAGGGCAGAGCTGCAGCAAAGCCCACTTCCAGTTTGGTTTTTTCCTCAAAGAGCAGCTTTTGGTTCAAAACTGAGGTTTTTAAAGCTTCCTGACAAGCAAAAAGCCTGAATTATTTTAGAAACACAAACTCCAGGGCACTGTCCAGGGCCTGGAGAAGGTGGGAATTCCATCCCAGAGCTGCCCTGGGAAGAATCTCCCCTCTGGAACAGGAATTCTCTCCCAAGCCCCAGCTTAACTCAGGGCTCAGAGGGATTGCACAGCACAAATTGAATTTAATCCTCCCAGCCTCTGGCAGCCTGAGGAGTGTCCCAGTGTGCAAAAACACCTCCAGACAGCTCTGGAAGGAGGAAAAACACAATTCCAGAGGGCAGCCCTGCAAGGAGGGGCTTTTCCAAAAACACCAAGCCCCACGTGGCTGCCTGGAGCTGGAATAAAAGCTCTGCAGGGCTGGGAGCCAAGAAACCTGACTGACCTGCACGTGGAATTTTCAGTGACATGCCACAATAAAATGCTTTTATCCTCATGGAAAACTGCAGGAGTTTTCCATGTTTTTGAGGTTTCTTTTCTGCATGGAAAACTGCAGGAGTTTTCCTGTAGAAGCCACAAAACCTGACTGACCTGCATATGGAATTTTCAGTGATATGCCAGGATAAAATTTCTTTCCCCCGTGATTTTTTTTTTTTTTTTCTGCATGGAAAACTGCAGGAGTTTTCCTGTAGAAGCCACAAAACCTGACTGACCTGCATGTGGAATTTTCACTGATATGCCTGGATAAATTTTTCTTTCCCTCACAGAAAACTGCAGGAGTTTTCCTGCAGAAGCCACAAAACCTGACTGACCTGGATGTGGAATTTGATATGCCAGGATAACATTTTTTTATCTCCACGCAAAAAAAGTTTTTTCTCCTCATGGAAAACTGCAGGAAAAGGCAGTGGAAGGTTTCTTGTGGAAGCCAAGAAACCTGACTGACCTGCATGTGGAATTTTCACTGATATACCTGGATAAAATTTTCTTTTCCTCATGCAGAACTGCATTTTTCTGTGGAAGCCAAGAAACCTGACTGACCTGGACCTGGAATTTTCATTGATAATGCCACAATAATTTTTTTTTTCTCCTCATGGAAAACTGCTGAACCACGAAAAACCAGAGAGCTACAGGAAGTTTTGAGGTGCAATTTCTGCCCTCACAACACCGGGGTGTTATTACTCACTCCCAGCAAAATAAACTGATTTTATCAGGCACACTCTAATAATTCCCAAGCATTGCCTGGAAAAACACTGCCTGGAAGCTCGGGGTGAGCACACACCTCTTAAAAAAACCTCCCTGGATCAGTCAGACAGCATTGCACAATGGCAGCTGTGAGTAAGCAGGGCAGGAATTCCACCTGCTGGGCTCCACTGGGGTCAGGAGGGGATTTTGGGAGGAATTCTTCCCTCTGAGGATGAGGAGGGGTTGGGATGGATTTCCCAGAGAATTTGTGGCTGCCCCAGGAGTGTCCAAGGCCAGGGTGGAGTGTCCTGGATAGTGGGAGTGTCCCTGGCCAGGGTGTGGATGAGCTTTAAGGATTCCAACCCAAAATACTCCAGGATTCCATGGTTCTCTCCTGCCACAGGAATCTGGAGCAATGTCACCCACAGGCTCAAAAGTGGCACTTTCTGTAAGAGCAAGGAGAGGGAATTTTATCCACATGCTGAGAAAACCAACAGCAAAGCCAAAAAATGCTGTGGCCAGAGACAAGGACCAAACCAGGCTTCAACCACAGAGCTGAGCACCAGATATTACCAAAATAATCACTAAAAAACCAACAAAATACCTCAAAAAATCCAAAACCACCCAAAAATCCAGTCAGTTTCTCAAAACCACCTTTACCTGGCGCTAAATTTTTTTGGCCAAGCTGGACCATCCCCAAGCACTGAAGAGATCCCCACAAGTTCTAGAGATGAAAATTCAGATTTTTAGCCAGTTTTAAAGGCAACTCACTAGAACTTGGATCCCTTCTTTCTCGATTGGAGCTTGATCATAAGTGGCATCACAAACTCGCACCAAGGTTGTCACCCCGTACTTCTTCAGCTCCTTGAAGAGAAAGGAAAACACCTGAGCACTGATGAATGAGAAATCTCTTTTTATCAGCTGTAAAACTCAATATTTTCCACATTTTCAGGGCACCAAGGTGACGGCCCATGGAAGGAGCAAGGGATAGAATTCGTGAGGAAATCCACAAGCGACGGAAAAAACGAGAAGCATTTGTGAGAGAGGGAAAAAATTGCAATTATAAGAGTAAAATTGCAATTACAAGAGTATGAAAATAGCTGCTTAAATGCTCCATGCAGCTTCTTCTCCTCTTTAAATAGAAGCCAGGGACTGTTTGCTTCAGGCAGTGTTGACATTTGGAGGCAGGGAGGAACAGAACACACACCCCACCATACTCCAGCTTCCTGGTAATGCACTAAAAGTAGCACTCGGTGCCAGATAAAGAACCAGGGGATCAAACAAAAGCTGCTCCACTTCACTCTGAAGGCTCAAAAAAACAGAATTTCCTCTGCTGTTCGGGGCTGAATTGCACCTCATAATTAGCAGGAATATCCATTGCAGAAAGGGCTGGAAAAGGAAAAAAATTCTCAAGAATTGGGGTGGTAGAATCCTAAATGCTGAGAATTTTAAACTTTTTGTGTTTAAGGCACAGACTCACAGGAGAACACTGCATTTGACCTAAAGTCATAGAACAAACTTCTAAAATTAACTGATAGCACTAAGACTACAAGTGTGTAGTTAGTTAAAAGGGTGTAATATCACAAAGTAAAAAAAAAACTTAGATTTTAGAATATAAAAATAAATATGAAGCAAAATAGAAGTTTTACGGTAGAAGCAAGTTGTTCTTCTTTACCTTCTTCCTTCTTCTTCATGGATTTAAGAAGTGTTTTGTAATTAGACAAAAAAGTCCACATTACAAGCTTCAAAAGAACAATTATTGAGTTATAAGAAAAAATAATCTAAGTATCCTTTCTTAATTAGATAGTTTAGTCTTTAAAAACCTTATAACAAAAGATGGTTAACCATTTTGTACCTCACTAATAAAAAGCTACCAAACATTTATAAATTATAAATATATCACAATTATAAAACTATTTTACTAATAAGAAATAATAAACACCTAAATCCAAACATAAACTACCATCTCAAATACCTTCAATCCAAAAAAACTAACTCATCCTGTGAACACAAACTGAGTTTGTATTTCATTTTCTGAGGGAGGAGAAAGCTCAGCTCCAGCTCTTAACTCAGCAGCTGAGCAATGGTTGATCTATTTATTAAAAACAGTGCATTACTTAATGAAAAAAAACATTTAGAGTCACAAAATCAAAATATTTTTACAATGGGATGGTTTGGGTGGGGAGGGAACTCAAAGCCCCCCCAGTTCCACTGCTCTGGCCTGGGACATTTCCTCTGGGAATTCCACCAGGCAGGAATTCCCTGTATTTTTAACCTAAATTTCCCATTTTTCTGTTTGAACCCATTATTTTGTCCAAGGATGCTTTGATGGAAAGGGGGATGTGTTTGTATCCTAAAATTGAAGTTCATGCAAGCAAAGAAATGCAGGAATTGACAAAAAAAAACCACCAGTGAATTCTCATACTGTGAGGAGAATGTGAATAAAAAAGACAAAAAAACCCTTAAATTTCCTTCCAGAGGTGAGGAAGGACTGGTCAGCAAATTCCTGGCCAGGAAATTTTAGGGATTTGGGATTTTTTTGGATCCATTACTCTTGTCCAAGGAGTAAATCCTTGATGCAAGGTGGGGGCAGTGTTTGTATCCCAAAACTGAAGCTCATCCAGGCCAAGAAATGCAGGAGTTCAGAAAAAAAAATCAGCAGTGATTCTCATACTGTGAAGAGAATGTGAAAAATAAAGACATAAAATAATAAAAAACCCTTAAATTTCAAGTAACAGGCACTGAGAGGTGAGGAAGGACTGGTCAGTAAATTCCTGGCCAGGAATTTTGAGGGATTTGGGATTTTTTTGGATCCATTTTTCCTGTCCAAGGAGTAAAGCCTTGATGGAAGGGGGGAGTCTTTGTATCCCAAAACTGAAGCTCATCCAGGCCAAGAAATGCAGGAATTGACAAAAAAAAAACAACCCACCAGTGAATTGTCTTCTCATACTGTGAGAAGAACATGAGTAATAAAGAAAAAAAACCATTAAATTTCAGGTAACAGGCAGAGAGCACCAGAGGTGAGGAAGGACAGGTCAGCAAATTCCTGGCCAGGAATTTTGAGGGATTTGGGATTTTTTTGGATACATTATTCCTGTCCAAGGAGTAAATCATTGATGGAAGGGGGGAGTCTTTGTATCCCAAAACTGAAGCTCATCCAGGCCAAGAAATGCAGGAATTGACCAAAAAAAAACCACCAGTGAATTGTCTCCTGATACTGTGGGAGAATGTGAATAATAAAGACAAAAAAACTCTTAAATTTCCTTCCAGAGGTGAGGAAGGACTGGCCAGCAAATTCCTGGGCAGGAATTTTGAGTGATTTGGGATTTTTTTTGACTCCTTACCTCGATGAACTTGCTGAGGGTTGCGTTGGTTGGGTTGTGAGTGATCAGGAAACGCAGATTCTCATAAGTAATTTCCACGGGGGCTGGACGGTTCATAATGGCAAAGAAAATGTGTGAGGGGCCAAAAAAAAAATAAAAAACCCAAAAAAAGAAAAAAAAAATCAAAATAAAGGGGGAAAACAAAACAAAACAAAAAAAAAAAATCAATGACCTTGGAAACGTTTCACAGCAGAAAACATCAAAAAGACCACTAATATGGCCGGGATTGATCAGAGCTTGCTTGTTCCTCGGGGATTTTGCTCCTAGAAAAAGCAGGTTTGCTTCCAAATCCTCAATTCCTGGCGGGGTGGTATCCTTCAGACTCCCAAAATTCCCACTGCACGCCAGGCTGGGCAGCCTGTCCTACATGGAGGCACCGGTGAGGCGAGGGCAGGGCTGGGCGCGCACTGGGTGCTCCTGGTGCCGAGCCGTGCCAGAGTCAGTGACAGCAATCTGCTCCCCAGGGCCAGGAGATATCCCATAAATCTGAGCCGCGTCCTGCTGCCTTCCCGGAGTCTTGGAGGCCAAAAAAAAAAAAGGGAATTGTGGCACAAACGCGTGGGGAGCCCCCTGAGCTCACTTGGCAGCCAGGGTGCTGTGCTGGGCCTGGCAGAAGTCTGCCCTGACGCTCAGAATCGCCATAAATGTGCCAAGTATCCTCCAACAGAACACCTGGAACGGGGAAAAACAGCGGGAAAAGTGTTGGTGGATTGTGTTCCCAGCAGGGATGCACCCCCCAGAGAAACTCAGCTTAAAATAAGCATAATAAATATATGCATAAAATAAATAATAAAAATAAGATATAGGAATGAAATAAATAATTCAATAAAATAAATAAGAAATAAAATGTAATAAGAAATAAATAAGACGTAATAAGAAATAAATAAGAAATAATAAATACATAAATAAAATAATTTTAAAAATAAATAAAAATAGAAAACATAAATAACTAAAATAAAGAAATAATTATAAATAAAATATATAAATAAAATAAATATATAGATAAATAAAATAAATTGGAGTCCTTATAGGCTTAATCATAAATATTATGAATAAACTCAAATTAAAAGAGTCATTAAAAAAACCCCAAAGAAATCAAAGTCCTGATAGGTCTAATCACAAATATTGTGAATCAAGTCCAATTACAACAATCATTACAAAAACCCCAAAGAAATCAAAGTCCTGATAGGCCTAATCATAAATATTGTGAATAAACTCAAATTAAAAGAATCATTAAAAAAAAAACTAAACAAATAAATGAAAGTCCTGATAGGTCTAATCCTAAATATTGTGAATATTCTCTTGGGATTTGTTGCAATTCCTGCTCCTGGAGCCACCAAGAAGAAGGAATTCTGTGTCCTGGAGCAACAGAAAACAGCACAAAGCCAAGCACACACTGGAAATGTCATGGGCACAGCCCCACCTGCTTGGATTAATCCCAAATATATCAAAACCAGCACTGCTGTGGCTCTATTTTTTGAACAAAACCAGCAGCAGGAGCAGAAGTAAGGGTATAATAAATAAAATAATATAATATAATCAATTTTTCATGTATTTCAGCTCCTGCTAGCAGATAAATTTCACCCAACTGGAAATATCCCCCAGAAATTTATCAAAGTGATGGCCAAATGGTCATTTAGCAGCAATAACTTTTAGTTATTCTCAATTATTTCAGTTATAGCCATAATAACTTTGGGTTATTCGCTGCCTTATCTCTATTTACAGAGCTGGCCTTTAAAGGCAGCCACAGCTCTCAGTTTGAAGAGCCAGAATTCAAAATACAAAATTCCAGCAATAAAGGGTGGAACAAAGCCATGAAATTTAGGGGGATGGAAACGAGAGTTATCCCAAAGTCCCTCAAATCAGGAATGAAATATTAAATTATCAACGTGGTTTTGAAAAATAATGGAGCCAAGGAATTGCTGCTGATGGAGCAATTCTATTTTTTTGGAGGGAAAAAAGGTTGAAATTGGATAAAATCCCAGCCCGCAGGCAGAAATAACCAACCCACAAGTGGAGTGGAAAGGTGAAGGTGGCACACCTGAGTGAGGATAATTAGGGATTAATTAGCTCCCCCCACGGAGCTCCCATCCCAAGCCAGGAGAGCCCAGCGTTAATGAGAGCCTCGCAAATTAAACACCACCAAATTACCTTTTCCAGTGCCATCGAGTCAAAAACCACCCAAAGAACAGCAATCATTCCCTCAGAGCGCAGCTTTCAGTGCCAAAATTGATATTAATTAGCTTGCCAGAGGCGAGGGAAAAGCTGCTCTCCATCACCTCCCCCGACCTCCAGCAGCTCCTGCTCTGAGGGACAAACAGAAATTTCCACCAGGAATCCTGGAATGTTTTACCCACAGGATGGAAGAATCCCTTCCAAACACACCAGACTCAAGCCCTTGCATTTATCAATTCACTCTCTCACAGATCAAGAGGTGAAAGCCCAATTAGAACCTAATTGAGGATAACAAAAAATGTTTTTATAAATAATTGAATGGCAAAATGAGGAGGCAGGAGAACGCCCATTCCTAGATTTTCGCCTCAGCACCAGATTTGGTTGGAAAAGCCTCATCCAGAGCTATTTTTGCCCTGGAATTTGTAGCAAATCAGGGTCATTTTTGAATCAAAGAGGGAATTTCACCCCAATTATTTTAAAAGGCAGTTGTACAAACAATTTACCAAGTGATTAAGAAGTGGAATATTTCATTTCCACGTGTGCTCGGAGTGGCAAAGAGTCACCAGCTCCTCTGAAAACCAGGAGTGACACCAGCTCCCCTTCCCAAAGGAATATTCCTGAAGCATTTAATTAGCTCCTAGCTCAGAAGTGATTAAAAATGTGGTTTTAATAAAGCACTGTATTTAAGCCTGAAAAATGTTATTTCCAGCAGGATAAGGAGTTGATGTAGCACACAACGCTAATTTTAAAAGTTTGGGTTGCTGACAGATATTGAGTTTAAAAATTAAAACTCAGGCTTTCAACTAAGAAAATTAAAACTTTTTGTCTACAACTTCTGATTTTCCCAAGTAAATATTTAAAAAATTCTCTCTCCCTGGGTTACCAAGTAAATTTGCACTTCAAAACCCCAGGAGAACCAATGAGAATAAATTGTAACCAGGTCTGTGGACAGCAGCAAACAAGGAACTGTTTTTCAGCCAATTAACCTTCAGATTTTCTAGTCAGAAAGTGAGATAAGGCATGGAGAGGAACAAAAAATGACAGAGGCTGGGCTGGAAAAGAGAGCAGCAGCATCCAGGGAGGAAAAGCAGAGAGCCAGCAGGACAAACAGCTGGGAATGAACATCCCTGGAGCTGCAGGATGTGCCTGGGAGGCAGCTCCTGGTGGAGTCATCAGGGAATTCTGATCAATGCAGGTGCCCCCTGATCAATTCCAGGTGTTACCTGATCAATTCCAGGTGCCACCTGATCAATTCCAGGTGCCACCTGATCAATTCCAGGTATTTTCTGATCAATCCCAGGTATTTTCTGATCAAATCCATGTGCCACCTGATCAATTCCAGGTGCCACCTGATCAATGCAGGTGCCACCTGATCAATCCCAGGTATTTTCTGATCAAATCCATGTGCCACCTGATCAATTCCAGGTGTTACCTGATCAATCCCAGGTGCCACCTGATCAATCCCAGGTGCCACCTGATCAATCCCAGGTGTTTTCTCATCAATTCCAGGTGCCACCTGATCAATTCCAGATGTTACCTGATCAATCCCAGGTGTCACCTGATCAATTCCAGGTATTTTCTGATCAATCCCAGGTGTCACCTGATCAATTCCAGGTATTTTCTGATCAATTCCAGGTGTTACCTGATCAATCCCAGGTGCCACCTGATCAATCCCAGGCGCCACCTGTGCAGGTGGGAGGGATTTTGGGATGTTTTAGCTGAACACACACTCAGATCCCACCAGGATTGCCTCCCCTCACTCACAGCCTGATCCGAGGTAAATCTGAGAGGAATTTCTCCTCAAATGGGCAAAAACAAGCTGAAAACCTCTGGGAAGGGCAGGCAATAACCAGCATAAATTAATTAAGGTAACAACTGATCAGGAGAGAAATTAATTCCTGCTTTGACAGAAGCTGGAGATGGCTGGGAGTGAAATCCCAAACTCCAGTTTAGGATTCCTAAATGTGAGATTCCAGCAGAGCCAGTAGCAGCCCAGGGAAAGGAAAACCAAGGAATGACACCGTGAGGAATTCCCAGCTCCACAAAAAGGAGAGGGAGAGAGAGGAACAGCCCAGAACAGCTGCAGCCTGCAGGGATTGCAGAACAGGATCCCCCTGGAAAGGTCACCGGGATCCCCTTTCCAACGCCCCGGGGCACAGGATGCACAGCACTCCCTGCTAATTTGTTACTCAGAATTAAAAGGATCCTTGGGAAGGCCTGGAGCAATCCCAGATCGTTTTGTTCCTCTAAGGGAGGATCCACGTTGAATTCGTGAGCTGCTGGATTTGCCTTTTCTGTGAAATCTCTGGAATTGCCACAAGTGGAGTCAGCAGCACGAATGGATCCCATCAGATTTCCATCCTGCCTCAGGATTTTGGCTTTTCCTGCCACTCTGCCCATGCCAGCTTTTACTTCCCCTTCCTGAAAATTCCCCTCTCTATCCCAACACTGCCAAAATATTTCACCTGCAACATTCTCCACGTGAAAGAAGCCAGAGACCTCCAAAACGAGCCTTAAAACCTAAACCACAAACCCGCCAGAACCAAAAAAAAAAAAAAAAAGATATTTTCTAAAACATCCTCTCGAGGAGAAAAACCCTGGAATTAAATGGTTCTGGATGAACTCCTGGCTGAAGGAAGCTTGCTCAGACTGACACGTGCCTGGAGAGGGGTGAGGTCCAAAAATGTCACTGTTCCACCCTGCCCACCCCCGCGGGCGGCTGCGGCTCCCTCCCAGTCCCTCCCAGTCCCTCCCAGTCCGGGGGTGACTCACTCGTTTCCTCTGCACAGCAGATACGGATCTGCCCGAGCAGGAACAAGAAAGCCTCAAAGGAGCCTCGAGTGGCAAGTGACACGTCAGGAAATGGTGACAATTGTGACAATTGTCACCTGGCCAAGGGGGAGGACAGGCCTGAGGCAAAGCTCACAAAGCTGGGCTGCCATCCCTAAGGAGGAATGGATGGGGAATCACCCTGGGAAGCAGCTGGACACTGGCATCCTTCTTCCAGGAAAGTGCTTCATACTCTTCTCTGTTAATGCTCTTCTGACACTGGGATTAGTCTTAAAAAAACAGCTTCCCCACCCATCACTGAAGTTTTTAAAGGACATGTGTGAATGGTATTTGCATTCCATGCCCAAAAAGTTGAAAGTTGCTAAAAGTGTTTGAAGTCAAAGTTGCTAAAAGTGTTTGAAGTCAAAAGTAAAAGACTCTGATAAAAAAAAAAGAAAAAATAAATTAAAACTTGAGCTACAATCCTGTTTAAGCCACAGAATTATATTCAAGTGAAATCAAAAATTACTTTCAGAAATTTGTTTGCAACATCAATAAGTCTTTCCTAAAAATCAGAAGGCTGAGTTGTCTAAGCTGGGCTTTGAAAACAAGGTCCTGCCTGATCAACAGCTCAGCCTAAACATTCTCACACGAAATATCAAACCCAACACCCAAACCCCATTAACGAGTCGAGCAGGACTTAAAAGCAACTTCAAAAATCACCCAGA